TTAGCCACTGTTCTGGGGGAAAGTTTTATTAAATAAGTGATTAAGGGTTGTTGGAAATATTACAGAGCTCTTGTAGTTGAACAGGATTATGGGTATGCGTTAATAATTTTATTACCAGGGATAGAATGAATCATGGCTAAGAAAAAAACAGCAAGTGATAAACAAGCCAATAAAATTACAAGACGAATTCACTGCGGAGAAAGAGTAATTATTTCAGTTATTTTTTTGTGCTTAATTAACATTTATTAAGTGTCCTCTGGGTCACAGGCACTGTTAGGTACTTTTACATCTGCTATTTTATTTAATTACGAGGAGTTCTTCACTTCCAGATAAGATTTCCCATGGGCTTCCTTTGACTAATGAGTTATTCTCAGCCCGTCCTGCTTGCACATTAAGCCACCTGGGGAGTCAGAAAACCATGGAGCTGGGGTTTCATCCTTAGAGAGTGTTTGGTGGTACAGGGTTGGGACCCAGCAGCAGGATTTAAAAAAAAAACAAAAAACAAACTTCCCTCTGTCTCCCATGAGCTCTGGTCACGCCAGCTGGGGCGAGAACCACTGTGTTACACTATTTGAGATGTTATTTCAACTGCAGAAAAATATTGACTTAAATTCTTGAGCAGTGAGCAGTGATTGCAAACCTTGAGACTCGTTTGCTAAGCCAGGTGGAATTGGTAAAACACCTGCTTTCCTTTTTCTGTTTCCTACGAACTGGGATGAGGGAGGTGTCCAAATAACTGCTGAATGAAGCAGCCTTGAAAATGTTGCCCTAAATGTCTCTGACCCCAAATGTCCTGGTGCACTTAATGTGTCCCCCAGGTTGTGCTTGATGGCATTTATCATGCCAGTGACTTGCCCTAAGGTGTGTGTTTTTTTTTTAAAGGACTATTTAGGGAACTTCTATACTAGAGGTTAATTCCTTTTAATGAAATACATACATATGTACAGATCTGTGAATAAAAAGAGTTTAAGAGGACAGGGAGAATTATAAGGAAATCTTTTGGTGGGGGGATTATAGATTGAAATGGCTTCTTTCAAAATCATCTTTGATATCATCGTAAAATTGTTTCACATCAAAATGCTAAAAAAAAAAAAGGATCAAGTGGTTTCTTTAAAATTTGTTGCAGCCTGAGATCACATAAGAGAGAGTTAACCTAAAAAATGATCCATAATCAAAAACATACGCAGCGCCTAAAAAAATTCATGGTCATCTTCACAAATAGATTTGCTTCAGTGGGAAATTTCAGTCCTGCCTGGAATACCCAGGAGTCTTACGGTGTAATTGGTGGAGGGGGTAAAAAAAAAAGAAAAAGGCTTCCATTAGTTTTGTTAATGTTAAGCATGTTCCCTGAAAATAAATTTCTGGTAGAGCTTTCCCCTTAAGAATGTGGAGGCCTTTTAAGAACATTATGCAGATGTATTTGCTAGGACTTGGGCAAGTCAGTCATTCTTTTGGACCTGGGGTTCTTCTCTGGTATAATGAGGGGACTGTCAGTGTCCTGGTGGGGTTTCACTGAGCCCCCAGAGTCATCAGCAGAGCAAGGCGGGTGGGGGGGTGGGTGGGGGAGGTGGCGAGGAGGCCCCTTGGGGTCTTCGGGTCTCCCACCCTGGCCTCAGAGCTGCTGGCGTGAGGAGGGGGCATCTGGATGTGTGTTCATTTGCAGAGAGAGGAAGTCAGTTCAGTTCTGGATGCATTTCTGAGGACCTACTATGCATCAGGCAGAATCCCAGGTGCTGGGAATAACGAACTCCGCGTTCGCCCTCAGGTAACTTAAAATGACCCGAAGGAGGCGGAGACAGGGGCGATTCCAGCACTTCTTCAGCGAGGTCAGGGGCTGGGTGGGAAAGGGGCGTCCGTGGGAAGGCAGACTGTATGTGTGAGTGCTTGGTGGTTTGTTTGTTTTTATTTTTAGAAACGAATGACAAGTAAAAGATGGTTTCCTTTTTGAATCACTGCCCAGCCACTCAGGAGGGGAAAAGAGAGAGGAGGAGGGGGGGGGGGTTGGGACCTCCCTCGTGCCCTGGAGTGGACCTGGGGGCTCCTGCATGCTGACGAAAGGGCTGTCGGGGCAGGAGCTCTCTGAAAACCACAGAACCAGCCCTTAGGGGACCTCGGGACCTCGGGCGGTCACCTAGCCCAGGGAGGTTGCCTGGGCGAGTCCACCTTGCCTGCATATCCAGATCTACTTACCTATATCTCTCTTCCTGTCTCCTGTCCTTGGCCATGTGAACCAGCAAGTTCGCCTGCGGGCCTTTGCATGGGCTATTGATTCTTTAAAAAACTTTTTTTTGGTTGTTTATTTTTGAGAAGGAGAAAGGCAGAGTGCGAGCGGAGGAGGGGCAGAGAGAGAGAGAGGGAGACGCAGAATCTGAAGCAGGCTCCAGGCTCTGAGCTGTCAGCACAGAGCCCGACGTGGAGCTTGAACCCACAGACCGCGAGATCATGACCTGAATCAAAGTCGGATGCTTAACGGGCTGAGACTCCCAGACACCCCGCATGTGCTGTCGATTCTGCATGGATCCCTTCCTGCCCGGGCTGGGCAAAGTCTAACTTGTCTTTTTGTTTTCAGCTTAGATATCACCTCCTTGGGGAAGCCTTTCTTTTACCCGCCACTTCCCATCCCCTGCTGAGTTAATAAAATACCCGTTTCTGTAATTGCCCAACACCGAGCTCACCCCTGTTGTTACACTTTTTCATACTCCATTGTAATTGCTTGTCTGCCCGTAATTGCCCCACTAATCCATGAGAGCTCCTGGCTGGCTGGGAAGGCTTAATTCCTGGAATTATCTCCGTGGCCACATGCTTGGCACATCATAGGTGCTCAGCAGCTAGTTCTTGAAAGAATGAGTATTCTCACTTTACAGCAGAGACTACAGGAGCTCAGAGAGGTTCATTGCCTTGCCCAAAGCCACACAGCTTTGAGAGACTGAGAAGAGACTGGAGCCCATAGTCTGAGCCATAGTCCACGTTCTCTCTGCCCAGAATCATAGACGTGTAAAAAAGTCACCCTTGTTTGGAGATGCCCACCTTCCTTCTAGGGGAACTTTATGCTGTCTCCCGTGTTTGTCTCTAGGTGATGTAATGGTCAATGTACTCTTTGTGTTCTTAAAACAAACAAACAAAAAAAGGGTTTGTGAGAGTGAGTTAGTGCCCTTTTTTTCTGATTTCCAGGATTTTTCCTAAGGCCCTAAACATTTTCCCAAGTGAACAACGTATTTCCATTTTCTATTTTGTAAATCTGGTCAAAAAACTTGAAAGAAAGGAAAAAACAACCTTTATGTAACTGGAAGGCATAGCGAGAAGAGTCAGAAGAACTGTAGACGTGGGGTGTGTGCATGTGTGTGCGTGCACAAACAAGAGCCCCTGTGGGGTGTAGACAGAGCTTGGGACAGAGCTTGTGAGTATGCTTATGTGGTTCTTAAATTAAATCTCCTCTTTCTTTGGCCACCAACAGTTCTGTGATTATGATTTAAAAGGGGATTTGGGGCACCTGGGTGGCTCAGTCGGTTGGGCGTCTGACTTCGGCTCAGGTCACAATCTCACGGTTCATGGGTTCGAGCCCCGCGTTGGGCTCTGTGCTAACAGAGCCTGGAGCCTGTTGCAGATTCTGTGTCTCCCTCTCTCTGACCCTCCCCTGCTCATGCTCGCTCGCTCTCTCTCTCTCTCTCTCTCTCTCTCTCTCTTTTTCTCTCTCTCAGAAATAATAAAACATTAAAAAAATTTTTTTTAAGGGTGGCTCAGTTAGTTGGGTATCTGACTTCCACTCAGGGCATGATCTCACAGTCCGTGGGTTCGAGCCCCATGTCGGGCTCTGTGCTGACCGCTCAGAGCCTGGAGCCTCCTTTGGATTCTGTGTCTCCTTCTCTCTGCCCCTCCAATGCTCATGCTCTGTCTCTGAAAAATAAATTTAAAAAGGGATTTTAAGAGCCTTGCTGGCTCAGTCAGTGGAGCAGGTGACTCTTGATCTCGGGGTCATGAGTTCAAGCCCTGTGTTGGGCGTAGAGGTTACTTACAAAAATAAAATTAAAAATTAAAGAAATCAAAAGGAATTTTAAACCATACTCATGCCACAGGGACAAGCAGACCCATGTGGGGGCACAAGAGGAGAGAGAGCAGGGGAGTGCAGGTGCTTGACATGCCCAACACAATTGGACTCAGCCCCAAACCTTTTGTGAGTAAAGTGATGCCGGTGGAGTGGCTTCCTGTAGTTCATCACCCGCCTAAAAGCAAAGAGAAAACACTAAGGCAGCTAAAGATTTAATCAAAATAAAGGCCAGTAAAGGGCATTTGTGTCCCTTCTGTACAACAATGAGAATGTTTAGATGCCGCAGACCCTGCTCCGACCTACGCTCTAGATGCTGGCGACTGTGTTCCGTGAGATACCGTTTGACTTTGGTTTTGCGAAAACTCCCTTTGATTCGTAAGTTTTTGCCGCTGTGAGAGATGCTGAGGGTGACAAGGCTGGTGTTCTGGGCAAGTTTGTTTTCCTTTTTCAGCCTTCAAAAAACCTAAAACAGGAAGTGATTCAGGGATAGAATGATTCAGACCAGTTCAAACTCAAGTTGAGCTGAGCATTTTTGCTGGGGCCCAAATGCTCCTGTTGTAAGTCAGACTTCTAGCCTCCTTTAACTTAGAATTCTGATTTGAAAGGACAGCCTGGCCCCACACTCTGTCCCCAGGACCTCACAGGCTAGCCACACTCTCCCTCAGCCAGAGGATTTTGGTTTGGGTCTTTGCTCTGTAACCGTCAGCAAGTTACTTAACGTCGCTGAACCTCCATTTCTTTATTTGTAATACACACAACTATTTTAAACACTAAATGAGAAAAATGTTTGTGAAATGTGCTCTGTTTGGTCTGTAGAAATGGAATTGGGAGTGGTTAGTCACAGACTGTGGCTGTAGTATGGGAAAAAATAATTGTGTCTAGGACTTAATGGGGGCTTATCTTGTGCTCAGGTCCATTGTCCCGTGCTTAATCTTGCTATAATTCTGTTTTACAGGAGAAGAAATCGAGGCCTGGAGTTTGAGTAATTCGTTCAAGGTTACCAAGTGGGTAAGTAACAGCCGGATGTGACCATGGCCATCTGCTTCTGAGTTTATGCTCTTAACCACTTTGCTATGAAGAAAAATTAAAGTGGATGGAAATATTAGGCCGGGACATGGATTTCAGTTCAGTAGAAATAAGAACCTGCCACCTCTATTGAAATTAGAATCCATGTGCTTTCTTTCAGTCACTCCGCAAATATTTATTAAGACCCTACAAGGTTATCAGGTGAAATTATTAATTTAAATAAGAACTTTGGAGAGAAGGGGCGCCTGGGTAGCTCAGTTGGTTGAGCATCCTGTTCTTGGTTTTGGCTCAGGCTGTGATCTTGCGGTTTGTGGGATTGAGCCCCATGTCGGGCTCTGTGGTGACAGGGTAGAGCCTGCTTGGGACTCTCTCTCTCTGTCCCTCCCCTGCTGTCTTTCAGAATAAATAAATAAAACTTAAAGAAGACACTCTCAGCCACTTGTCATCAGTAACAATAGTAATAGTTGACAGCCACTGAATACTGTTGAATAGCAGACACTGTGCCAAGAGCTTTGAATTGTCTTGTTTAAATTTCAAAACTTGAGGTTCAAGACGTAACCTGCTCAAGTTCACTCCTATAGCAAAAGTTGACTTAGTCCATTTGGGCTCCTGTAACAGAATACCACAGTCTGGGGGGCATTAAATAACAGAAACTTAATTCTCACAGTTCTGGAGGCAGACAAGTCCAAGATCAAGGTGTCGGCAGATGTGATGTCTGGTGAGGGCCCCACCTCCTCATTCACAGGTGGCCATTCTTTTGCTAGAACCTCACATGGCAGAAATGGTGAGGGAACTCTCTGGGGTCTCTTTTATCAGGGTGCTAATCCCGTTCCTGAGGGCTCCCTCCTCAGGACCTAATCACTCCCGAAGGCCCCACCTCCTAACACTGTCATGATGGAGGTTAGGTTTCCACATAGGAATTTGGTGGGGACACAAACAGTCCATGGCAGGGGTAGAGCCAGCATTCACATCCAAGTGGTCTGGCTGGAGAGCCAGTGCTCTTATCTGCTGGGAGGCCACTCATGGAAAAGCAGCTTGGGACACCTGGCTGGCTCAGTCGGTTAAGTGTTCGACTCTTGATTTTAGCTCAGGTCATGATCTTGCAGTTTTGTGAGTTCAAGCCCTGCCTGGGCTCTATGCTGATAGCATGGAGCGTGCTTCAGACTCTCCCCTCTTTCTCTGCCCCTACCCAGCTCACACTCTCTCTGTCTCTCTCAAAATAAATAAATTAAACATAAGAAAAAAAGAGAAGAAAAGAAAAGAAAAGGAAAAGTGAACTTGGTGAGCCTGGGTACCTGCCTTTCTCGCCAGGCATTGCCTTTTATGCCTCTTCTTTCCCTTGTCTTCCTGGCATCCTTACTGCCCTGTGTTTGGCTGACAGTCCCTAGAGATCTTTAGGCGTAGACTGGAGATCAGATGGTAGGATGCCATGTAGCAGTCTCTCATGCACGCTTATAACTTTTATTTTAATTGAGGTATAACTTACATACTGTAAAATGGGAAAATCTATTTTTTTAAGATTTTTAAAAATGTTTATTTATTATGAGAGAGACAGAGAGAGTGTGTGCATGTGTGCCAGCAGGGGAGGGGTGGAGAGAGATAGAATCCCAAGGAGGCTTCATGCTGTCAGCACAGAGCCTGATGCAGGGCTTGATTTCAGGAATTGTGAGATCATGACCTGAACTGAAATCAAGAGTTGGATGCTTAATTGACTGAACCACCCAGAAGCCCCTTTAAGATTTTTAAAAATATTTTATTTTTAAGTAATCTCTACATCCAACATGGGGCTCAAGCTTACAACCCCAAAATCAAGAGTAGCATGCTCTGCTGACTGAGCCAGCCAGGTGCCCCAAGATTTTTATATTTTTATAGGGGCGCCTGGGTGGCTCAGTCGATTAAACGTCTGACTTTGGCTCAGGTCATGGTCTTGTGGTTTGTGGGTTCAAGCTCCGCATCAGGTTCTGTGCTGACAGCTCAGAGCCCGGAGCCTGTTTTAGATTCTGTGTCTCCCTCTCTCAGCCCCTCCCCCGCTCATGCTCTGTCTCTCTCTCTCTCTCAAAAATAAGATAAATAAACTTTATAGTTTATTTATTTTTGAGACAGAGAGAGAGAGCAAGTGAGTGAGTGGGGGAGGGACCAAGAGAGAGGTAGAGAGAGCCCCACAGAGCCTGACGTGGGACTCGAACCCATGAACTGTGAGATCATGACCTGAGCCAAAATCAAGAGTCAGATGCTTGACTTAAAATCCCCCAAGATTTTAATTTTAGGTAATCTCTACGCCCAATGTGGGGTTTGAACTTAAAAACCCAAGATAAAGCATCACATGCTCTACCAACTGGGCCAGCCAGATGCCCCTTTATGAATTCTTAATATGCCACCCCCTCTTGTCCCCACCCAGACAGGGCATTCAGGATTAACATCTCTCCAGGCCATTCTGTCATGCCCCTTCACAGTGAGTCCTGCCCAGGGCTAACCACAGTTCTGACTTATAGAAGTCCTGTATCCATCATATCACAGATTCCTGCTTCAGACTTATCCAGATCCAAATATACTTGCTCAACAAAAACAAAGTACAGATAAAAATGACACTTTAAATAGCGTGGGCGATCCTGTCATTCCACCCAACAGGCGTCTCTCTCTTGGAGTGAGCGTGAATGAGACACAGAGCTGCTGTTCCTTCTGTCACTCTTTGTTCCTATGGCTTTTTGGAGTATGAGCATCTTATGCCATCAAGTGTGCTTCTTATATTTATAGGTTTCAATCATCCTACAACACAGCCCTGAAATCCAAGCCAGCTCTTTCTTTCTGGTGCTCAACCCAAGAGACCAAATCCAGTGTTGAAGGGCCATGGCCTGTGTTGTTGGATCTATGTTGGGAAGTGGTTGGTTTGTCAGTCTCCCTTGTGAAGCCTTATTATGGGATGTTTAAGGAGAATTTTGACTCCTTTCGTTTTCATCTCTATGCTGACTTTGGAAGCTAACCCTTGAGTAAGCTGCCATGGTACTGTGCACAGAACTCAGGGGCAGGTGGTTATGTTAGACTTGGAGACCTAGAATGCTCTGCCAACATGGTGGACCATGCTCATTTGTGTATCTTTCCTGATATGGGCACAGAGTGGGCTGAGATGTAAGAATTGTATCTAGGGGAGCTCATCAGAAAGGGAAGTCCTCAAGTATCAGAAATGAAGAGAGAAGATTAAGCCAAATGGTTATGTGAGCTGAAGTCATGACAGCTTGTGGGGCATTGTACCCAGGAATGGGCCATGGAATCTGGGCGTTAAGATTTAAATGTCTCAGTGGGTCTAGAAACGAGATTTGGGTCCATTGTGAAACTGAGCACTTGAGAGCCTTTTTAAAAAATGTTTATTTATTTAGAGAGAATGGCAGAGAGAGAATCCCAAGCAGGCTCCACACTGTCAGCACAGGGCCTGATGTAGGGCTCGATCTCACGAACCATGAGATCATGACCTGAGCTGAAACCAATAGTCAGATGCTCAACCGACTGAGCTACCCAGGCACCCTGAACACTTGGGAGGGAGCCTTAAATATCACATTTCTTCATGTAGAGGGGCTAGAAAAACTCCATTTGGAGAAATAGAGAGGCAGCTTGCCTTGAGTGGAACCAGTCACCAGCAAGATATTAAAAACCATATGTAGTTGTAGAATCTATATTTTTATTGTGTCTTAGATTATGAGACCCCTCCAGCTGAGAAATGAACATAATAACTGGCCTAGTGCCATGGAAATCCCTAGCACAAACACAAATCACCCAGGATATTCAACAACCCAGACCTAACAGAACTCCCACAGAAAGAACTACTTCTGAGGACAACTTCACAATTAAATAATATGAGCTATGCAGGAAATGAACTGCTTCAAGTTGGAAGTAATAGAACCATCTAAAAGAGACTATAAAACAGCATATTTAGAATAATTAATGACTACAAATGATCTAAAGGAAGTAAAGAAAGATGGAAAAGAATAGGTTGATTTGAAAGGCAGCCAAATTCACTGGAAACACAGTCACTGAAATTAAAATCCAAGAAAAGGATTAACAGACAGATGAGACATAGCCAAAGAAATAGTTGGTGAGCTAGAAGACAGTGGTAACAGTTTACACTTGTTGAGTCCTTAGTATGTGCTAGATGTTGTTGCGAATACGTACACGAAGTCATTTCATCCTGAGAACAAAGTCTGTATTTTATGGATGAGGAAGCCAGTGCATGATGGTTTATGCTGCCTGCTCAAGGTCACGCAGCTGGTAAGGATGGAGCTGGGATTTGACCCTGAGCTGTCTTGCGTGGACTGGAGTCTGTGTGTGTAATTATAACACTGTAGACTGTCCTCAAAAATAAGCATTGAACAATAGAGATGCGAATGTGCAAGAATGGTAAGAAGGCATAGAAGAGAAAATACGAGGATATTGCGTATGCCTCACCGTGGGCTGGGGAAAGGCAGTATTCAAAGACATAATGACAAAAGAGACACAATGATTAGATGTCCCTTCAGATCTTCTCCAGTCCTTAGGTTCCAAGAATCTGTGACCAAGTCACAAGTATCTGTGGCCCTCTTGCTAGTGGAAATATTCAAAGACAGAGGGCTGAGGCCCGGTTTCCACTGTAGTATGTAGGCATCGATGTGCTGATATGTTTGACAAACGTCTCTCTGGGGGAAAAAAAGAAGCCTTGCTTTATAGCGTTTGCTGATTTCTATGGTACAAATACTTCCCATGACCAGTTTCAAGCTACCAGCCTGAGGTCTCTGAACCCAGAATCAGGAAGAAAGATACCCAGTCTGCTCTCCTGAGCCAGTGTGAGCTGGTTTCAGCACACCAGTGGCTCTGATGTGCGTTCTGTTTTTACACTGGGATTTCTAGGTTGTGCATCCTGGGTGGAACTTACAGGAAGTAGTAATGTCATGTGTTATATCACAGGAGCAGGGAGAGCCAATGGGTCAAACGTGGAGCTCTGGCACCCTTTCGTC